ACATCTACTATTCCTATTGTGTCACCAACAGAAGCTAAGGTAGAAACAAGGGCAGATTCATCTATGTTTAGTCCTCAACAAAAAACAGAACTCCGTGTTTATTCATGATGTAAACCACAGCCTTAAGAAGTACAAACTTTTGTGCCCCAACCGCATTGTCAAGAATTTGATCCATAAGTAAATTCTAAATCAGAAAATGCTAAGCCTACAACACCATCACTAGTGAATACTGATCCGAAAGTAAATTTTGAATAAAAAAATGTTGTGCTTGCCGCACCATCACCAGTGAATACTCTACCTAATGATCTAGGCATGCCTATAGCACTCAAGAAAGGTGTAACATCATGCACTTAACACCCTTTGTCCAATTATCTTACAACCATTTGTCTACTGCATTTTGTGCCATGATAGAAAAGATTGAGGTATTAAAATCCCACAAAATATTCATGAAGCTTTAAAAATCTCAAAATGGAAAGCTACTGTACTTAAAGAGATGAGAGCCTTGAAAAGGATGTTGTGGAGTTACCTAGAGGAAAAACACTAGTTGGATGTAAGTGCATGTTTACTATTAAGTATAATTCAAATGGAGGAATAAAAAGACACAAGGCCCGCATAATTGCAAAGGGATTTACTCAAACTTTTGGTGTGGACTACACTGTTGCTCCAATTGCTAAATTGAATACTACGAGGGTATTGCTTTCACTAGTTGCTAATCTTTACGGGCCATTACACCAAATGGATGTCAAGAATGCCTTTTTGAATGGGGAGTTGGATGAAGTTTATATGGAATTGCCTCCTAGCTTTAAAAGGGTAAATAATGACAGGAAGGTATGTAAACTGAAAAAGTTTCTTTGTGGTTTGATCGTTTTGCAAAGTCAGTAAGGAGACATGGATTTAGCCAAGGACAAACTGATCATACTCTTTTTTCCAAACACTCACAACATGAAAAAAAGACTATTTTGATCGTTTATGTTGATGATATTATATTGACAGGTGATGACACCGAAGAAATAGAAAGGTTAAAAAAGACTATTGGAAAAGAATTTGAACTTAAGTATCTTGAACAACTAAAATACTTTTAAGGATGGAAGTTGCAAGGAGCAAGAATGACATTATTGTTCCCTAAAAAAATATACGGTTGATCTCTTGAAGGAAACTGGTCTGCTTGGCTGTAAACCAGTTGATACACCTATAGAGCTTAATGTGAAACTTGAAAAGAAAGGAAGAATTCCCATAGATAAGTGGAGATATAAATGACTAGTTGGAAAGCTGATCTACTTGTCTCATACAAGATCTGATATTGCCTTCACAATTAGTGTAGTAAGTCAATACATGCACTCTCCAATTGAGGAGCATCTTGAAGCTGTATATCAAATCTTAAAGTATTTGAAGGCCACACCTGGCATGAACAAAGAAATGCGAAAGCATTTACAGATGCAAATTGGGCAGGATCAATTGAAGACCAAAAATCCTCCTCTGGTTATTTTACAAAGGTTTGGGTTAATCTTGCCACATAGAGGAGCAAGAAACAGTCTGTTGTTGCTCAAAGTAGTGCAGAAGCAAAATTTAGAGCTCTTGCATAAGGAACTTGCAAACTTATTTGGTTGAAGAGACTTTTGGGAGAATTGAAAATAACAGCTGAATACCCTATGAAACTATATTGTGATAACAAGGTTGCTATAAGTTTTGCTCATAATCCAGTGCATCATGAACGAACAAAGCATGTGGAAGATGATAGGCATTTTATCAAAGACAAGATTGATATGGGAGTGATCTGTATAACCTATGTTCCTACAAAGCAACAAGTAGTAGATATCCTAATAAAAAGACTACGTAAACCAAGCTTTGAGACTCTTGTTGACAAGCTGAGAATGAAAAATATGTATTCTCAGCTTGAGAGGGAGTGTTAACAAATTATGTATCAAATTAGGATAAATTTCCTAATTTGTTGGATTTATATTTCTGGTCTTTTATTTTTTTCTATGTTTAGATGATTATGTCTTGATTATGTGGGTTTCTTTGTACATATCGATTCCTCTATATTTTTAAAGATTCTTTTTTAATAAAAAAATATTCAGAGAACATTGTTTTTATCTCTGTTTTCACTTGTTTTTTGTATTCCTTGAGTTTCACCTTTGTTATTTATATTGGTGCAGGTCAACTGCTGTAGTACCTGTCATTGTATATACTTAGGATTAATCAAGATGAGCTAAAAGAATATAGTAAAGTAATATTTGGTGCAAAATTACAATGGTAGAGATCGAAACAAGGTTGCTTTTTACCCTCTAAAGGTTGGTGTCCTCTTTGTTGTTTATTTGATTGCTTCATTTTCTGCTTTGGCATACTGTTGCTTCTAACCATTGTTATTTTTGTGGCAGTAAACATTTAAGTACCATAAACTTATCTTTGTATAGTTCCAATTTGGAATGTGGCAAGTGCTTTTGTTTACGGGAGAGATCATTCTATTATCTTCAAGTTGGCCATCTTGATGCTGATAGGTAAAAACTCTTTCAGTGACCATTATTCTCCTTTTATTGCATGGCAATTCTGTTTTATGTCTTGCAATGAAAAAACGTAGTTGGACGAAGGAAGGGCAAATAGTTTTAGTAATCCACATTAGTGGACTAAGAAGCCTTTGCAAGTAATTGCTATTGGAGTCTATAAAATATGCAGACAATTGGCCTTTCTTTTAGGAGGCCTGACACTGGCTAAAGGTGCTACCTCAATCGAGTTTGAGCTGTAGCTGACCTACAAGCACCATGAGTATAGGGATGACAAACCAGTAATCCAAATTTAAGAGGCATGTCATGTCCCAATGGGCTTGTCAATATATTACTGGGAAGCTGAGCCTTTTTCTACGGGGCACTGTATGATGGTTGAGTCAATTTTATACATTACGGGATTGTACTTATCAAGTAAATTTTGAAAACACGACATCTTTCAATGATTGAATATGTGATTTGCCTGTGAACAATCAACTTTGGCATTAATGATGGTTGACGCATCAGTTTGTTGAATTTAGCAGTTCATGCTTGTAATTTTACGGCTCTGGATCTATGTGTCTAATTACACAATATCCTTTGATTTCAGGCTGAATAATTTGGGCGGTTGCATGAATAGCGAAGCTGGCTGTGGATTGACTGTGATAATGAAATTGGTCCTTGTCCTCTTGCTATGTCACCCCTAAATATCTCGATTGTTAATCTCTAGGTGACATTTGTATGACAAAATTTTGACTGACCCTTTTTTTATGTAATAGTCAATAACGTATTAATCTGAAAATTTAATCAATAGATACAATTTTAAGAATAGTCATTAAATTTTTTATCTATGATTGATTATTTGATGAATTTATCATTTTAAGATTATTTTAAACGTGATTAAGACTTTCAAAAAATAGGTTTTTGGTTTACGTTTTAAAATTAAGTGCAAAAATTATATTTCATGTGAAAAATATTACAACATTTTTATAAAATCTATTTAAGTTAGTATTAATTAATTTTAAATTATCTTAAAATCTTGATTAATTGATCTTTTTATTTAAACATTTACATAATAAAAAGAATTTTAAGTTTTCCTCACCATTTTGTAGAACTTTTAAAAAAAATTTCATCTTAAGAGTGTACAAAAAGTCTGTTTGTTCTTTTGAAGAGATTTTATTGATGGATTTTATTTTTTAATTTATTATTAATCATCTTTTATTTATTTTATTAAAATTATTTAAAATTTCCACCATTATAAAAATATTTAAAAATATTTTTTCACTTAGAAATTTATAAGAAAATAAATCATTCTTGATTTTTCTAAATTATCATTGGATTTACTTTATTTTTTATTTCAAAATTTTATTTTTATTATTTCTAAAATTTAACATTTCTATCCCTATTATTTACTATGCTTAAAAAAATATTATTATTAAAATTTTATCTAATTTTACCATCATTCAGACAAAAATTGAAAATAAATTTCTCATTTAAAATTTTTTAAAAAATCAATCATTTTTAATCTTTTAGAGTTTCATTGGGTTCACTTTATTTTATCAAAAACTTATTATTCCAATTTAATTATGCTTGAAAATAACTGTTAATTATTGTTATTAAAATTTATTTCACCTTGTCACTATTTTGGCAAAATAAAAGTTCTCATTTGGAAATTTTTAAAAAATCAATCATTCTTAATTTTTAAAATTTCATCATTTGGCTAGTTTTTATTTATTTTTAAGAATTACATTCTTGTTATTTTTGTTCTTGATTTTATATATTATTTTTATATTTCAAATTTTTATCTAAATTTTTTACTTTTTAAAAAATATTTATGATAAAACTTCTCAATTAAAAATTAAAAAAAATTATTCAATTGTGATTTTTTAAAATTTTATCATTGGATTTATGGAAGATTTTAATTCCAAACTTTATTCTATCATTTGAAAAAAATTTCTCAATATGATATTTTATTTTTATTATTCTTGTTATCAAAATTTTTACTTAAAATTTCTACCATTTCAGAAATTTTAAGGAAAAACTTCTTGCTTAGAAATTTCTAAAAAACATCAATCATTCTTGATTTTTTTAATTTCGTTAGATAATTTTTATCTATATTCAAAATTTTAAATATTATTTTTTACTGTGTCAACCAATTATTAGTCTTATATTATAAATTATAAATAATTAAAACATGTTGTAATGAAGAAATTTAAAAGGATAACAAAATAATAATAAAGCAACATAGACATCAACTCACTAGTCGAATCTAAATGTCAACTTTAATAAAATTTATTTAATATAAATTTTTTTATAAAATTTTTTAAATTATAATAATTTTTTATAATCATAATTATAATAATTTTTATTAATATTTTTAATCTCGTCGCACAAGATTTATTCAAATGAATCCTAAGTGAATACCAGTATACTTACAAACAGTTCGAGTTGATTATGGGTTGAAGCGCAAGTCACTTGGCAAGTCTAGGAGGATCAGGTTCATTAAACCCCAAAACGTCGTTGTTTTATTAAAACTATAAACGTCAAGTTTTTTTTTTCTTCCTTCAGCCTTCTTTCGTTTTTCTCTCTATTGGAATTCAATTTCTATGCTTCTCTGCTTCTCTCCATCCACACGATTCCCGGCCACCGCTCTAGTCTTTATGCCGACATTGGTCGCTGCACATCGCCACGGTCGGAGTCAATTTGAGCCCAAAACTTTCCCAACGTTTCCTCTCGGCCTCCTCGTCTCGAAAATGAGCTTAGATTTTTTGAAAATGCTCCTCAAATGCCACAGATCTGAAAGTTTATTTTATGACTCCACCCTTCATCGTTGTTCTGATGGTAGCCAGCTTAAGGTATGCTTTTTCTCTTCTTCGGATCTTTCTCCTCACTGAACTTGGAGACACAAATCTCTTTGAAACGTTTTGGACCAAAAATCGAAGAGAGAGAAGGTCCCATCTATATCTTTTGTCTCCTTTTTGTTTTATGTTTCTGATTTTTTTGTCTCTAATTATGATTTTTTCCTTGGACTAACGTTGGTGTGCTTAACTGAGAATGGGCGATTGTTCAACGAGAAATCGAAAGTGGTGGTAGGACCTGGTCTCGGCAATGGATGGTTGTTGTGGTGGGGAATGGTTTCCTGAATTTTCTTTGTTTTGAGGTCTAATTGTGGTTTGTGATAGAGGCTGGATCTCTTATTGTGCTTGTCCCTGTTTTTTGGATTGTTGTCTGATTTTGGATGCCTGTGTTGATGAAATTGCTGGGTTGGTGGGTGTGGATCTTACAATTCTGGATTCCTATAGTGTGTAGTTTTGCTAGTAATTATGTATTGGGCTGACAAATAGTGGCTTTTCCTGATGGTGGAGAATGAACTCTCGGAAGTTCTTCGTTATAGGCTACAATAATTGGTGGATGGCAGTTGTGGAATTGTAGTTGTTAATGGCTAGGGGCAACTTTGGTGAGCTTCGGGCTATGGTAATTTTGTTATGTGTTGATGATTGGAGTTTTCTTTTCTGGAAGTTGGTTTTCTAGGATTGAGAACTGGGATGATGGGTTTTCTCGTCATGAATTGTCCCTTTTTCTTTGCTGGTTGGCTCAGTTTATACAGAGATTTGTTTCGATTGTTATAGGGTTTAAAATCATAACAACTTCCCAGTTAAAAAGGATTTGCTTCCATCATCTTTTTTAATCTTTATCATTGAAATTTCATCTTCAACACAAGTCTAATCAAATCCAAAATTTTTAAAAATCAGATTACTTATCATGTTCATTTACCCGATTTATTTAAAAAATTAATGAAATAAAATAAACAACTACAAATAACGAAAACTATAAATTGTGAAAGAAAAAGCAGGCCAAACACTTGGTTCGGGTTTTAAATCCAAATCAAGCCTAAAACTTTAAAATTTCGAAAGTGAATGGATTAACCGAACACCCAAACGGTAAATTCAAAAACTTAAATGGGTCAAATTAAGATCACTTTAATTAGAGAATAAAAATCCGAAACTAAGTATCCAAATTTGAAATTATTTCAGATGATCCTAGATAAAATGGGATTTCTACACTAACTCTTGCTCTTCTTCTCTGTATGTACATAGGCATAGCAATGACATTTTAGTTAAATCTTCAATAAAATTGGAGCCACTTTTGGTATGTATCTCGGTAACTTTGCCCTTCCACATTTGGTCGATTGTTGTTGTGCAACTCCTTACTGAACTGTGTTCCTTTCTTTTATTAGCAACCTATAATAGAACCTTCATCATTTTGAAGTCATATTTAGGAAAAAGGAAGTTATAGTATTCAACTCATCGTTTCTAAACTAACAATCAGAAATCAAAGAAAATGAAGAGAAAATACGTTGAAAAAGAAATAGAAGAGAATGGCTATTGTTTATTTATAGCCTTAACACATTTGCAAAGTAGGTTGGCATAAGTTTTTAGTGTTAAGTTTTGAGTTATGTTCAGCTATTTTGTGTAGTATGAACTCATTGTCAAAGAGCTGCCATAGATGTCGAAAGATTGACACACGCAACCATAATTAGAGGCATTAGACCATTACTAAGATAAGGTAAAGCAATGAAACTATGGTCACATGAATAAGGCAAATCATATAATTAATTACTTTAAGACACTTCAAATTTCTTAATATGCTATATATATATATATATATATATATGTTATGAAAAGAGAGAAGAGAATAGATAAAATACCAAATAAATATGCTATATATATATATATATATGTTATGATGATGTGAATAATTAAACAATTATATGTAAACTAAGATGACATAACATCTAAAATGTTGCTGACATAAGCATTAAGATGGAACATATAGAAGTAACTTGTCTTGACATTCTTCATCAGCCATGGTTTCATCAACTCACAGAGATACTTCACGTCAAAGTTGAATTGTGAAACTGAAGTTATTATTTAGCCCGCTCCAATGAAGTAGACAAAATTTCCCACCTAAATAATCAGAGTTCAAAATTAGTTCCATAGAAGTTAACAAAAAAAAAAAAAAAAACTCCAAGAATATCCATCCATTAGCAAGAAAACTCAAAGATAGTATAAGATGAATATAATAATTCAAAGGAAGACGCAAATGAAGTTCAAAATGCATAGAACAGAACATAAGGGCAATTTGCCCCATTTGCTCTATAGGATGAAAGAAGCCTATAATTCAAAACACAAGTATAAAAACAAATCCTACTCAAATTGCACAAAAAAATATAATAATAAGACAATAAAAAGAGGGGTAAAAAAACAGAAAGATCACCTGAAAGCTTATGCTTCGCTTTTTTTTTTTTTCCTTGAATTGACGTCGAAAGTCTTACCATTATTGCATTTCTGTATGTTTTATTGCCATGCTTTTGCAGTCTTAATTATCCATACCTAAATCAGCCATATGGATAAAAATTAATCATAGAGGTCTCCTGCCATACTAGCATTGAATTTTATATTATTAATAATTTTCATCCGTGACCTTAAAATTTTATATTTACCATTCACATTTTTTTTAAAAAAAAATTTCAATCAACATTCAAATCATCAATAACAATATGTCCATTTAAGTGTCATCAACCCATGAGATTTAATGGCATGACCTATCAATATATGAAATAAGCATGGGCAAGAGAAATCCTACCTGATAAACGTAACACGTGTTGAATGACTTCTTGAATAAGATTTATACTTAATCTAATGGGCAGAGGAAGAGAGCAGAGAAGGCGTAAAGTAAAAAATATGATATATGTTTGATCTGATTTTTTATATTTTATAAATGACGATATGATTAATTGAACAATCATGTGAAAATACCATGTCATATTAACTAAATATGATGATTATACCTTTATATTTGGCTTTTTTTTTATAGGAATTAAGATAAAATGACATTGAAAATATATGAATCAGATTAAATTTTTTAAAAAAAAAATTTAAGAAATTATTTTACGTTTCGATAAAAAAAAAAAAAGTTCATACAAACATCCACGTCAATAAATTGTATCTAAAACCTACGTATATTATAATATAATATATATATGATTATCAAAAGAATTATTTTAATATATGTTACAATAAAATATCTCCTATACACTTCTTATTAAATATTCATAAAAATATTTTCATAATTATGATAAAAATATTATTATAATAATTTTAATCAATTATGAGAAAAAAATATTTTTATAATTACGATATAAAAATATTATAATTATTTTATCAATAATAAAAAAATATTTTTATAATTCAATAATAAGAAAAGAAATATTTCTGTAATTATAAAATGAAGATATTATAATAAATAACTATTATATATGAGTATTTTTGTAATTATGATATAAAAGTATAACAATTAATTTAAAAATCAAATATTTCCGTAAATATGAAATGAGGATATTATAAAAAATAATTATAACATAAAAATATTTTCATAATTATGATATAAAAACATAATAATAATTGATCATGTGTCAATTTTTTATCAAATAATAAGACAATAATTTGATAATTTCATTGAGAATTTTTTTCAAAATATGTATAGATGTGAGACACTGAATAAACGTAATTTAAAAAGTTAACTACTCATGTAATATTCATACTGATAAAATTTAAAGTGAAACACTATTTAAATTTCAATAGACAATTAAAACTTTGTTGAACTTTACACAAGGTACCCAGAAAAAAAAATGTGGATTTCAGTGAGGGAGCATTGTAAATCCATCTGACTACCACTTCCCACGTTCCATTGGGAAGGACCTATTTAGGCCAAGTACCTAAACAAGTTTGGATTATCCTTGTCTCTCTCCAGATAGTCTCGTGTGATGAGATCCTCCATCCGCTTCTTGATGGCTTTAATATCAGGCTGCAAATCCCAACCACATCCTACGTAATTAGTACCAACTACTAAGAAGTTATGCAATTAAACAACCTATCACCTATTACTTACTTTCCAGTTTCCGTGCATGTGTTTGATCACAGAAACACAACAGGTTAATCACCTATAAAAAAGTCGATGTTTTTATCCAATTTGATAACCCCACTCCTTCCATTTCATCACTTTTCATTTAAAATAAAAATCTATCACCTCTCATCTTTTATTTACATGCATCATTCACAAAAGTAAACTTCCTTTGGATAAGAGAACCATTCGTTTTTCCACCTTTCTACCCAAATCTCATAGATCTTTTTGTCCTCTAGCTTTTCATTCTTTAAAAGATTATTTTCATACAGTGTATGTTTGGCTTGCATGTGCCTGTGTGTGGTTTTCTGTCAGTTAAGGCAACCTGATATCCCCATCTATACATCTAATGTTTCTCTCACAAACTGTCAGATAAAGGGTTAGCGTATATTAATACCTTGAACATGCGACTCAACTGCTCAACACACTCTGAAACTAATTGTTGGTGGCCCAAAACTTTCCTACTCTTCATTATGCGCACAATTGCAGCGTCAATAGCATAACGCCGATCTTTATCAACATCTTCAACAACTTTCTTCCTTTCATCCACAGGAGGGAGAGGAATCTACATAGGATAGTTTACAAGGTTATTTCCAAAGGTAGAACTTCTCATTCAAATAAATACCAAAAGCAATAATAACATAAAAGAGAGTTGCAAAACTATCCCAGACCTTAATCCTCCTCAACTTGTCAGTAAACTTAGAGTTGAACTCAAAGTAATCACTCTGGGAGATGGTTTTTGTGTTTGGCTCTTTACTTAGAATCTTATACTTGGCACATGCCAGCGAATGTAGTAACCTGACCAAGTCATCATGGGTCAAGTTCAACTGAGCCATGATCTCTGAATAGCTCAGCCGATCAGAAGCATTAAACAGAAGGAGGACAGCAGCCTGTTTACAAACGCAACTGGAAATTAGATTCCACAATCAAAGTTCAACACCGCAACCCAGCAAGACAAAGACATAAATCCAACCCAAATCACAATTTTTTAATTTAAAAAGCGCACACAGTTTACAGAGTCGTTTACCTGATAAGTTGAAACAATCAACTCAATAGTTTTCTGCTCAAACTTGCCATTAATGTGGCAAGTTCCCAGAGAGTATATCCATGTAAGCTTTCTATGTTTTGTTTTTGTTTCATAAAATCCTTTGAAAACTTCCACACACTTGACCTGAAACAAATAAAATTTCTGAAGACATGCTGGAGTAAGAGCTCTAATTCTGTCATCATACAATAACATGTTAGAAGTCATTACCATCTCAGCAGGGAGATTGAGATCAAATGATTTATAACTCGGCCAGAATCCTGTGGTAAGAACAGTAACTGTTAAATCGATCCCAGGATGTGCAGCTGGGTTATTTCTAAGATAGTCCTCAAAGCTGGCCTGGTTTTCCCTTGCCAATGTCAGATCTGTCACCTGTCATGAAGGTAGAAGACAAGTTTCATCACAATTTAAACCCTAATTAATGCAGAAAAATAAACTAAGCAAAACTCAGGCCAACTCACCATGCCCTCCATCTTCGAGGTGAACTGTCCACCGCATTGCTGCTTTAGCTTAGTCAGAATACTCCTTTCATGATCATCATTAGCACTGCGGT